CCCTAGTCTAGAAAATACTGTTCCATGTCTGCTTCTAGGAAGGTCAGCGTCGTCTCGGGAGTTCACTGCCCCTGAGAGCCCCAGGCTGATGGACGAAAGCTGCAGGCAGGGTTGTGTCCCGCTTGGGAGCCCGTCCGGGGCAGAACCTGCCCTGTCTTAGCCCTGGCCCTGGCGCCCAGGTCATTGGACCCCAGCCTGGAGCTGTATCCGGGTGCTCCCTCCTGACCAGGGTCCAGAGGCGTCCCACTGTCAGTCTGTCCCTCCTCCTGGGCCGAGGGCCTTTGTTCTGGGGGCAGGGCTGCGTTGCTGGGGCGTTCCCTGGCACGTCCGCTTCCTCTGCTGCCCTCAGATCAGGATTTGGGCAGTGCAGGGACGGATGGCTCCCTTTAGGCTGCTGGGGGGTGGGGAAGGGGAGGTGGCCGGGGAAGAGCCCAGCGCCAGCCCGGGGCCACAAGGCCGGAGGAGGCTGGCAGGCCTGGCTCAAGGAAGACGCTTGGTGGGAGGCTGCCTTAGGGAGCTGACCTTGTTCCCGTGGCCTCCGTCCCACAGCTCTGAGGGCGTCCAGGGCCGTTCCTGGGCCCTGCAGCCTGTCAGCATCCACCCAGCCCTCCGGCCTGGCCCTGCTGCAGCTTCCGCCCACCCAGGCCACGGGGGGCTGCCACGGCCTTTGTGCAGCTGTGGGTGGGTGAGCAGGAGCAGCGTGGAGGAAGCTTCCAGCATGGCCGGGGCACAGGGCACCTGGGGGGCCTGGCTGTGTGCCCGCGGCCCCTCACCGTCTGCCTGTGGCGGGGGGCGCTGCTGGGTTCCAGGCCCCCAGGGGCTCGGGCGCAGAGCAGCGGGCAGAGGGTAGGTGCTGGGGTTCCGTGTTTTTGGCCCTCGGGCTGGGGCCTCTTTGTGGCTCTGGTACTGGGGCAGCCTCCACCTCCCGGTCTGCTGAGCAAACACCGGCAACATGTGCTCTGGGCACAGCAAAATGAGACTGCAAGTCAGATGAGGTGGCAGGCTGCGGGTCTTTTCTCTCTCCTGCCTCAGTAGACCCGCCGTTCATTGCCCTTTGCTTGGTGGGGCACAGCTGAGGGCAGGCCCCCCGGCCTGCTTCTGCCCCGCGGCCCCTCTGCCCCTTTCTGCTGCCCTGCCTGCACTGGGTGCGTGGAGAGCTCTTGGGCTGGGGAGAGTCCCAGCCTCTGTCACTTCCTCTAGTCGGCCCGGGCACTCTGTGTGCTCCCATCTTCCCAGAGCCGCCCCTGCGCCTCTCCCTTCAAGCCCAGTTGGCTTGGATCCCGCTGGGCTGCTTCCTCGGGGGGGCTGCCAGGCCCGCCCAGTCTGGGGTCTAGCCGTGCCCCCCGGGTCCCTGCGCCCTCCTGGTGGAGCCCTCATCACAGGACATTCTGGCTGGCTCCCAACCAACGTTCACGTCCCCGAGGCCGGGACCAGGCCCACCTTGTTCACATTGGATGCAGTGCCCAGTGTGCTGTGGGCCCCCAGGGTGTATCTGCAGAGGTGTGCCTAGGCCTCCCGGGTGCCTGCCTGGGCTCCTGGTAGCCCCCCAGGACAACACGGTGACTCTGGGGCCGCCTCCAGACATCTGAGGAGAGTGCTGGGTCCCTGCCCGGGTTGTCCGCTCAAGGCAGACACCCCCGCAGCCTGTCCACCCTACTCTTGTTTCCAGACTCCTCTTTCTGGATGATGATCTGATTGGAATCTTACAAGTGAAGCTTTGTATCTTAAGATGATACCTGTCTAAAGTTTGGAGAATAAATGAGCCCTACAAGGTTGTTTGAGACAGAAGAGTTGTCCCTTCTTCCTCTCCCCAGAGTTAGCTACTTCTGACCCTACAGATCTCTGGATAGCGGGTCTCTGCTCTCGATAATGTGCTCAGTCATGCTGCTGTGTGGTTTTCAACAGTTAGGCATGATTTATCGACTTGCAAGCTGATGGACGTGTGCTTTCAAGCCTGTGCTTGCACACACACCCGCTCAAGCACACAGGCATGAACATTCATGCAAACACATGCTCGAGCACATACGCACGAATACACGCACACACATGCTTGAACACGTGCACGCTTGAGCATACGTACATGCTGGAGCACACGTGCACGCTGGAACACGCATGTGCACACTCTAGCACACATGAACACCCATGCACATACAGGTTTGAGCGTACATGCACGCACATGCTGGAGCACACACGTGCATGCTTGAGCATGCACACACATGCACACACGCGGTCCCTCCCTTCCCCAGTGCTGCTCTGGGCTGCATCCTACCGTGGGCAGGTAGATGAGGCCTTTCCTAAGCGCAGTTGCTGCTGGGGGCTGAACCTCGAGGTGAACCAGGATCGGCCTCATTTCCTGCTCACCGTGTTTCCCTGGAGCCTGGTTGTGTCTAGATGCCACAGTCTTCCCTCTCTCCCCGAGGAAGTCTCTCTGGAACCTTCTGTTGCCCCGTAAGCTGGTTACCTTCCTGGCCCCGGCACAGCATCGGCCCCAGGCCTCCCTCCCTCCCCCTCCCCGCCCCCCGCCCCGGGATCCTTCACCTTGCTTCTGCCGCAGGTGGTCGTGCCTGCCTGTTTTCCTATATTATCCCTGCCGGATGGGAAGGACAGGGAAGGGCCCGATCCCTGCCTGGAAGTGCCTTCTGTGCTGCTTGGGGCCACCGTGGTTTCGGGTTCTGTCTTTGTGGCCCGTGTGCCCCGCGTGCCCCGCAGGGCAGGCCCCTCTGGCCATGCTGCATGGCGCTCTGCTTGGTGGCCTCGAGTTCTGGGTCACTCATCCCCTTCCCTGGATGGCCTCTGTCCCCACGATTGCTGTCCCTCGGATGTGGGGGCACGGTTGGTCCTGGCTTCCGCACCTGTTCGTGTTTCCTTCGGCTTCCTTGGTGGTATCCCCCATGCCACCTGAGCACCCTTCCACTGAGCTCTGCACCTTTTGCCCGCTGTGCCCTCTCTCAGCGCCTTGGTGTTCTCTGGGCGCCGACAGTGGCCTGTTGGGTGTTGGGGCAGTGCCTCCTGGCTCTGAGGATGGTGGCGAGGGGCCGGGTGACCTGGATTCACTCTCGGAGAGGCCGTGCAGTGAGATCACGGGCACTGCCCTGCCAGATCCCAAGCTCTTCTCTGCCGGCTGCCAGCTGCATGGCCTTGGGTGCCTTACTGCTCGTGCCTCAGTGTCCTCGTCCTCTGCCACGTGAGGCAACAGTGGGGTCTCCTTCCAGGTCTTCGTGAGGACGGCGTGGAGCCTGTGTAAGGCGTGCAGGGAAGCGTGGGCGCGTGCCGGGGCTCTGGGTGCCCGCTGTGCACTTAACACTTCATGCTGTTCTTCCCGGTGCTGCTTCCTCCATGTTGTGTCCGCATGAGGCCTGGGCTCCGTCTTCCACATCCGGCGTGTTCCCAGGTGCTGGTGAGCACGCAGGTGTCCCACTTCTGCGCAGAGACCTGCCCTCCTCCAGGCTGGCGGCACCCCTGCCTCCTCACTCCTTACCAGCTGTTTCTGCCCCTCCCCGGGCTGCCCATCTCCCCCAGGAGCGTCCAGAAAGCAAAGGGAGGTCCAACGGCAGCCTGGGTGGGTGGTGGGGATTCAAGGCCTGGGACCCATGGTAAGGAAAACCATGTGCTTTCCCCAGAGTCTGCAGACCCTGAGTCCCTGCCAGGGGTCCCTGGGGCCCCGCAGACAGCTCCCCTGTGTGGGACCTGATTCTGTCGTTCGCTTGGACCAGGGTCGCATCACAGCAGACTCTGGAAGCAGGTGTGGGAACCAGCGTGTCCCTTGAGCCGCCAAGAGTCAGTTGCTATGGCTCTTCTCGCTGAACTGTTTTGTTTGGGAAAACGCAGCTCTGTTTCATAAAGATATTTATTTAACAGGTAGCGGTTTTCCTGTTACTTTCTTAAAAACTTCGTTTTAATTTGTCACGCAGTAAATACTGGCGGATGTAATTCACATAAGCCAAGGCTTGTTGGGGTTCTGGGGAACTCCTAGCTGCGGAGGGGCTGGGCCGGCCCAGGCAGCGCCGGAGTGGAGCACGGCCGGGCAGCCTGCTCTGCGGGCCCCCGCCGACCCCGGGAATGTGGGCCTGCTTCTCGCCACCCAGGAGCTCACCTGGGTCACCATCCTGCCCTCTCACTTAGGCTTCTGCACGGCCGAGTCGAGCCATGGCTGCGGAGTGCAGGGAGCCCAGCCCGGCCTGTTGGGAGCACTGCGTGAGCCGTGCTGGCATCCCTAGCATGTGGCCGATCAGGCAGACGCTGGGCAAGTCTCTGCCTGCTCTCAGCGGCTCCTTTGCAGACACCCGAAAACCGATGACCCTGGAGGGCTCCAGGGGGCACTTGTCAGGCTGGCGAGGTCCCCACTGCCATCCTGGAGCCGTGGTTCCCCCGCGGAGCAGATCGGGCGGGCGGGATGCCGAGCTACTCCCGGCCAGTGTCGTGCTCGGTGCTGAGACAGGTGGTGGTGTTCTGAGTGCCGCCGTCAGTGTGTGTCACCCGCTCTGCATGGCCTGCCTGGGGGCAGGTCCTCTCATTACCCTGGCTTTGCAGATGAGGCCGGTGAAGGTCAGTATCTCATCCAAGCTCCATTGGGACCAAGTGTCGAGGTGGTTTCAGCCCCGGCAGCCTGCCCCCAGCCCTCCTGCCATCTTGTGTGGCTCAGAAGGACTGAGCTGGAGCTAGAGAGGGGCAGGTGGCTCAAGCCCCTGGGGTTGCAGCTTGGCAGGGGTGGGCTCATGCAGGGGAGAGCACAGGGCACTGGGGCTCTGGTTGGGGCCACTGCAGTGTTTGAGGGGTTATTCCCAGTGCCTGTCCCAGAGGGTACCTTGAAGGGGCTCAGTGGGGCCACTGCCCTGGGGCCGGGAGGAACCCGGCTGAGCCGAGGTGTGGGCATGGGGCCGCCTGGGGTGAGGGTGAAGTGGAGCCAGGCTGGCGGGCGGGGTGGGCAGGGGCCCGAGTGCACCCCGAATCTGAGCACTAACTCCTCTCCTCCCTCCCGACCTGGTTTTTGTCTCCTCCAGCTCTGTGGGAAGGCAGTGGCCCTGGTGTCTGTAAGAAGATGTCCTACGGATCCATCGCTGGCAGTGGTGGCCCGGGGAGCCATGGCCCTTTTGGGGGACCCTCCAGGCAAGGCTATCAGCCCCTAGGTAATGACAGTGGCTCGCAGTGCTGGTGGGGTGGTGGGGCGTGGCCGTAGGTGGGTCTCTGCTGTCGTGATGGTAGCAGGGGTAGGTGGGTTCTGTGTGACCAGTGTTGCCTGTGGCCAGGGGTGAGCGACCTGGCCTTCGTCGGGGCGGGGTGGTTGGTGTTGGACTGGGTCAGCACCAAGGGAGACTTCACTGGGAGAGGCTGCCCTGCCGAGGGGCTGACCTGGTGTCTGCGGTCATTCTGGCACCACACTGGGCCTCAGCAGGTGCACCGAGCTGGTCTGGAGGTGCCTGGGGGCTTGGCCTGTGGCAGAGCGGATGGATGGTCTGGCCTGGTCTTCCTGATGACAGTGCGGGGTAGGCGTTGTTTTTGCAAATACAGAGGAGGAAACTGAGGCAGGGCGGGGTCGGGAATGCTACGCAGCTGGTACGGGGCAGAGCAGGGATCCCCTTCAAGCACTTCTAAGTCGCCTCCCTTTCCCAGCCCTCGCCCTGAGGGCTGTGTTCCGGGCTTCCTTGCTGTTCGGCCGGGTCTTGCTGACGGGCTGTGTCCCCACACCGGACCTTGCTGGCTGTGCGTGTCTCAGAACTTTGTTTATGGAACCGTAGGATTTATCTTATCTGCCGTTTGCTGGTTTGGTTCCCGAGTCCCTGATGCTGCAGGTCTCTGTTCCCTTTTGTTTCCCTGCTCCGTGGCTGTGTGGCGCCCGTCCTGGTCCATGTGTGAGGGCCAGGGAGCGTGTCTGTCACCCAGCAGCACGGCGGGCTGTTGGCACTGTCTGGGCTGCCCTTGGTGCCCCAGCCTCGTCAGCTGAGTGGGGGCCGGTGGTGGATGGTGAGCGGTTGCAGTCTGAGGGCAGGCCTGGTCTCTGGGTTTTCATTTACATTTCTCTGGTGACCAATGGGATGGACCCATTTCTCCTCCTGCGGACTCTCTTTATTATTTTCTAGGCTTTGCCATCTTCTTACTGACTTGCAGGGTTTCCTTATGTATTCTGGAAGTGAAACCCTTGTCTTCTTGCCCTGTGCGTCTTTGTCCAGTCGGGGCCTGCTTTTCGGTGTGGCACCTGCCTGTTGGGGAGCGCGCGTTCTTGGCGAGCTGAGTTCTCCATCGTGGCTCTTGCTTGAGCGTGCCAGTCCCTCCTGCCTGGTTTGCATTTCTGACTAGTGTGATGAATCCTATCATGAGATGATCCTGGCGCCACGTTTACTCTCCTCTGAAGCTGATATGACTGTTGTCCGTCTGTAAGTCTTCTGTCACCATTACCGGGGTTTGATCTTTGTTTATGGGGCAGGGCGCGGGGAGGGCTGAGAGCTGCCCCGTATTTCTCTCTCTGAACCACACATTGTCCTGGGATTGTTTATTGAAAGTGCCGTCCCCTTCCTACAGACCCGCAGAACCAGAGTGCTGCAATAAGTGATGTTTCCGTGTAGCTTCTCTTGGTCAGTTTTTCCCTTCCTGTGCAAAATTCCGCCTTAATTTTCAGTTACCTTTTTTGATGTTTTTCACGGTAAGTTGCTCTGCTTGCTTTGCCTCAGAAATGTCTTGGGTGTTCTTGGCCCTTTGTTCACAACACACCTTTTAGAATCCCCTTGTCAGGCTTGGAGTTTCGGCTGCAGGTTCATGCATCCGCTGCATGAATGTGGTGAGAACTGGCATCTTTACCATTGGTGGGCTCCCAGCCCGTGAGCATATGTGTCTTTCTGTTTCTCCGATCTTCTTTCATGTTTTTCAGTAAAGTTTTATAACTTTCATTATCAAGATCTTACACATCTTTTATTAAGGTTGTTTTAACAAAAAAAACCCCACGTTTTTTGCTACTAGAAGAGATACCACTCTGAGTATTACACTTTCCAAATCTTTGTGGCGGGTACACGTAAGCAACAATTGGTTTTTTAAAAAAGGAAGAGTCCAGAGATTTTATTTAATTTTTAAATGCTTTATTTTTAAACTTCCTAAATACGAACAATTTTAAACACAGAAAAGTAGACACAATGACGTACTGAGCCCAGTGCTGCCCAGTCCACCTCATCAGGAGTCCGCTGTGGCCGGCCCAGCCCCTTGTGACCTCGGGCTGCTGCTGTGTCATTTGGCGGTGAGTCCCAGACACAGCATGCCTCCCGCGTGGACACGTCCCCGTACCTCTGCAAGGAGCGAATGTGCGCAACCAGAGAGCCGCTAGAGTGCTGGGTCAGGTGCGCCCTGGCACCTCTGACACCGTGGGGGCTCCGCGCGCGTGTTGCCGTTGATTGACAGGCCTTTCGAGTCTCTCTGAAGCTCGGGATTCTCCTCCATTGTTTGGTTTGTTGGTTTTCTCTCGAAGTTTATTTCTGGAAGGAACCATGTTTTTCCTGGGAAGTGTGATTGATTTTTGTTCACTGACTTTATATTTTGCTAAACTCCTTCTATTGACTGTAATAATTTGTGGAATCTTACGTTTTTTTGTTTGGATGGTATCATTTGTAAATAGCGACATTTTTTTCTCTTTTTCCCTAATGCGTCCATTCTTCTTCTCGCCTTCCTGAGCTGGTCGGAGCCTCTATGATGCTGGTTGACATGGTGCTTATATTACGCGTGAATTTTTGGAAGAATAGGACTACACGTTCCTTAAGTGTGTCTGGGATTTTGCTATAAAACTGTCTGGGCCTCGTGTTTCCTTCGTGGAGCGCTTTTTGACTAGCAGTTCACTTCTCCAGTTGTAAAAACTATCCAGGTTCTCTATTTCTTCTTGGGTCAGTTTTGCTCAATTGTGTTTTCTTTTTTTTTTATTCTTATGTTAATCCCCATACATTACATCATTAGTTTTAGATAAAGTGTTCCATGATTCATTGTTTGTGCATAACACCCAGTGCTCCATGCAGAATGTGCCCTCCTCAATACCCACTGCCAGGCTAACCCATCCTCCCACCCCCCTTCCCTCTAGAACCCTGTTAGTTTTTCAGAGTCCATCGTCTCTGATGGTTCGTCTACCCCTCCAATTTCCCCCGCTTCATTCTTCCCCTCCCGCTACCTTCTTCTTCTTTCAATTGTGTTTTCTGAGACATATGTCTCCTTCACTTAACTGTTCGAATTTGTTGAAATAAAGTGTAGACAGTAGCTGATGGTTGTCAATGGGGCAGCACTGTGGTGTGTTGGAGGGCCTGGTGGGGTCTGCCCGCCCTGCTCTGCCCCTGCCCAGCCATGGGCTGTCACGAAGGCTGAGGGCTGCTCAAGGTCTACCATTGTGGTGGCTGCTGTTTTATTAATGGTCACCATATCTGCATCACATCCTCTTTTTTATTTCTAATAGGGCTTAATTGTACTTCTATTTTCTTTTTTTTATAATCAGTATTGACTGAGGCTTGGCAATTTTGTAAGAACTGATTTCTGACTTTCTTGATACCTTCTACTGTATGATTGATCTCCACTCATACTTTTTCATTTCTTCCTTCTCTATTGGAGTTGATGCTGTTTTATTTTTCTAACTCCTAAGTTGGATGTTTACGTTCTTCCTTTTTAGTTTTTATTCTTTTGTAGTAAAAACACTTGAGATTATCAGTGTCCAAATGGTCACTGCATTAGTTGAGTGACAGACATTCAGAAGAGAGCAGTGTTTTTATTTTTTTATTATTTTTATTTTTATTTTTTTTAAAGATCCACTTATTTATTAGAGAGAGCGAGAATGAGCGAGAGAGAGCACATGAGAGGGGGGAGGGTTAGAGGGAGAAGCAGGCTCCTCGGTGAGCTGGGATCCCGATGCGGGACTCAGTCCAGGGACTCCAGGATCATGACCTGAGCCGAATGCAGTCTGAGCCAACTGAGCCACCCAGGCGCCCGAGAGCAGTGTTTTTAAATTAAAATTCAGTTGTGTTTTCTTTTTTTCTTTTTTTTTAAAGATTTTATTTATTTATTTGAGAGAGAGAATGAGAGAGAGAGAGCATGAAAGGGAAGAGGGTCAGAGGGAGAAGCAGACTCCCTGCCGAGCAGGGAGCCCGATGCGGGACTCGATCCCGGGACTCCAGGATCATGACCTGAGCCGAAGGCAGTCGCTTAACCAACTGAGCCACCCAGGTGCCCCAATTCAGTTGTGTTTTCTTATTTCCATTTTGATTTCTTATTTGACTCAGGAATTATTTTTATTTTTAATTTTTAATTTTTTAATGATTTTTTCCCTTCAGGATTTATTTAGAACCGTAGTTCATGGTTTCCAAATGTATGTATTTTTTTTTAGTTCTCTTAAAAATGATATCTAGTTAATTGCATATTTGTCGGGAAAGGACCTACATTGTCCTGATTTGCTGACCGTTGTTGAGGCCTGGTGCTGCTGGTTCCTCACTCTTTCCTCTGCGGGGTGATGCGGGAAGGCTCCCGGGGAGGGGCTGCCCCCTGGGCGGGACTTTGGAGCCGGGCGGGGACCCCCATCTGTGCAGGAGAGGCCACCACCACCTGGGACCTGCTGTGCCCCGAGCACTGTGGGGTTCATGCACCCTGTAGGTAATTATGCGGAGCTTAGGGTGATCTCTTTGTGGTAGAATTGCAGCAAAAACACAGCAAAAAGCCAACTGGCAGGTTATTAATACATAAAGAACTCACATAAATCAAAGGAAAACCTAAAAATCTTCTACAAAGGGACCAGCCCTGTGAAGAGGTAGGAAATGCGGCTGAGTCTCACCACCGCCCCGAGAGACAGACTTGAAGGGGGCAGAGTGCCCACACTGCTGGGCCACGGCGGAGCTGGCTCGCTCCGGAGGCGAGGGCGCGGCTGCTCCCGGACCCCGCCGCCTTCCCGCTCCTGGCCCGGCCCTGCCTCTTCCTGGACTGCTAGGACGGCATCGAGGTGTGGGCAGGGGCGCTGGCTGTGGCATGGTCGTGGACGGAGAATGCAGGAGCGCCGTCACCACCTCGCTGAGGGAGGCGGCTGAGATGTGGGCATCAGCTTGAGTTGTCGAAGGTCGCTGGGGGGCCTCCGCACGTGTCCGGATGTGGTGACAGGTGTGCTGAATGAAGTAAAGCAAAGTCGTGTCCAGAGTCTTCTAATTGTGCCAGACCCCCAACCCCGTGGTCACAGCGTTCACCTCCAGGTGCTGTAATTGCAAATGATCTTTATCATTTCTTTGTATTTGTCTGCGTTTGAACTTTTCCCTGTAACTGTGTGTATTTTAAATCAGAAAATTGTCTCAGGCCCCCCTCAAAGTTCAAGGGTCGTGTGATTCTGGAGGGTGAACCAGACCGGCCCCTCCACAGGCGTCTGGACCACGTGGAGTAACCAGGAGGAGGTGGGCAGGGCCTGGACTTCCATGACCAGGTGCCAGCATGGGGAGGGCATCAGGTGGTGATGTGGGTGGTGACATGGGCTGCCAGCTGGGCCCCTGGCCTCCCTGCTCCCATAGGGGGGGGTTCTGGGGGCTCTGAAGCAGATGGTGACCCCATTCGCCAGGTACCTGGATAGCTGTGCCTCTTCCTTACACTGGTCTGGGCAAGTGGCCGCAGGGGAGCCTGGCGCAGCTGTCTGCGGGAGGACGTGTCCCATGGGCTCCCCACCAGCCCTTCCGGAAGAGGGAAGGGGAAAGGATTTGCCCTGTGGGGAGATGGTCCCTGTCCTGGAGGCTCATGGTCAGACCCTCAGACCCACAGAGATGCCTGGACTTGGGGCCTCGGCCCTGGCCTCTCTCTCACGTGCTGTGACTGTCCAGGGCCGTGTCTGCCTCCCTGGACACCTAGGAGTGTTCTCGTAGTCTGATTTGGAAACCCACTTTGCTGCAGTTGTCTGCAGCGTGGGAACCTCCATCTCCGAATAAGCCAGCCAGCTACCCTGCCCTTCCTTCTCCATCCTTCCTGGACGGGGGAGGCTCTGGGAGTGAGGGGGATGGAGCCTCCCACCGAGTCCGGCCGGGAGCCCCGTGGGCCGCCTGTGTGCTTCGGGTCCTTGCTGCCTGGAGGCGGAGGATGGCCGAGGGGTCCAAAGGGGATTGCTTGGGCCAGTCCTTCTGTCCAGTCATGCTGGGCTATAGTGTCCCCCCACAGAGGGACGAGAGCATAAGCTGGACAGGTGTCCTTGGCTCTCCCTTCTCTGGGTAGATGCGAGTCCAAGGCCTTTTCCGAGAAGGAGCCACCCCTTCAGGAGCTCGGTGCCGGGACTGGCCCTGGACAGGCCGTGTCCCCTGGGTTTCAGGGCGGCTATGGGTGTGCTCAGACGGGTCAGCTATCGCCTCCTAGAGCTCGCTCCGTGGAAACTGCCCTTCCAGAGAGCTCCAGAGCGAACAAGCTCACACAGATGGCCCAGGGCCATGGACTGAAAGGCACATCTTTCAGAGATGGCAAGACGTTTTTATGAGATGTGTCTTAGGGTTGACAAATTCTGGCAAAACGTGTCTAGGACGTGTTTTTGAATAAATGAGAATGATGAGAAAATGAAGTGTCCAGGGGTCCAACCCCGTGCGGGGCCAGTTCGGGGCTGGGTATGGGGAGGAGGCCACACGGGTGCCCAGCACCGCTGCTCCTCAGCCCTGCAGCCGAGTGTCAGGAAGGGTGTGTTTTACTTATGTTTTCACTCCCAGTATGCCACGGAACGACATTTTTATAAACAGAATGATGCCATGCTGGGGTGCTGTGGTGATTTCGAATTGTCGTCAACATCCCAAAGTCCTTACTCTCCATTTTTGTTCATCATCTGTCGCAGACAGCTAACATCCATCGAAGGCCTGGCCTGGTCTGTGGGCCACACCTGAAGCCCTGCTCTAGGGGATTTCATCTTTGGGGTCACCTTTTAGAATAATCGTGGCTTAAAGAAAGGTCTGGAATGTTTAAAGTTCTGAACTCGGTGCTGGTCTTCAGCCCAAGCGGCTATTGCACAGGATGTGGCAGTCTGGGAGGGCTTCTTGGACGAGGTGGGCCCGAGTGGAGCTGCTTGGTGTGGATGCTTGGAGGGCTGAGGGCACCTGCTGTCCCGTGTGGGGCCTTGCTCTGCCATCTGCACCCTGTGCTGCTCTGTGGGCAGGCTGGGTGTAACTGTGATGTTCCTTGCTGTCTGTAGAATGCGCTGAATGTCGGACCGAGTACGGAACCCGCCATTTCCCCTGCCTGTCGCCAGAGAGCAGCCCGCAGGACCCCTGTGTGGGCCAGGACGGGGAAGGTGATCTGGGGTCGGCGGGCACGCCCAGAGGCCCGAGGGCCAGGAAGCGAGGTACTTCCGCTTGGGTGCTGGATCTGGGGGGACCTGGGAAAGGCCACCCTGAGATGCCAGGCGCTGAGGAGGGAGGGCCAGCAGGCGGGAGCCCAGGCGTGCTGAGCTGGGGGCAAGCTGCAGCACGGATTCTGGCCTGCACCCTCCCCCCCACTGCCTTCCCCTTCCCTGAGGACGGCAGATGGCAGGGCTGGACCAGTGGCAGGAGGCTGTTGTGTGATGACCAGTGCTCGTCAGGGCCCCGTGGGATCCAGGGAGGAGGCTCAGCCTGTGGGACGAGTTCCCGTGGACCCTTTGCTCCAGAGCCTGGCTTCTCCTTGTAGGGGGAGCGGGTCCCTGGTGTGTGCGTTAGTGTGGGGAGGGCATGTGGGCCTCTGTAGAGGCAGCCTTCCAGTTGACAGGGACCTGGGCGGGCACAGGCGGGGCTGCTGACCTCTGAGTGCTCCCCAGGCTCACACATCCTTCTGCCCTCAGGGGCTCTCAGTGTCGGGGGCTCGCTCTCTCCTCGCGTCTGGGAACCCGTGGCCTCATGGGGGAGCTGCCTCTTCTGCCCTTACAGGTGGTCCCCCTGCCTCCGGCAGGCACAGGCTGACTGCTGACAAAGCTCCCATGTGGGCAGAGGCCTGAAGACTTGGCACTGTGTGCCTGCCCAGCCCAGGGACCCCTGTGAGCGGAGGAGCAGGAGGCTGTGGGGGCACAGAGGGGCAGAGGGTGGAGGCTACGGGCCCGGCCACCTGCCTGCCCTCCTGCTCCTGTCCTCCACGTGCGCTCGGCTAGGCGGGAAGGCTGAGGGCGCCCGTCAGGCAGTCCCAGGGCTAGGACTCGGACCCGGGCCTCTGGATGCCTCGCAGGGAGGGGGCGGTAGCTGGGAGCGGGCAGCGGTGTCCTGAAGCCGAAGCCAGAGACGAGGCCAGCGCCACAGCCACCACCCCCACCGGCCCAGGCCTTCAACACCCACCTTTTGGTGCCTTTCCAGGGCCAGGGGTCACTCCTGAAGGCAGTGGGGCGCCGGGGCCCACCTCGCTGCCCGCTGCTGGCCTGAGGAAGGACTGCGCCCGTGGGGCCCGTGGCCGGCTGGCGGGGCCCAGTGCCACGCGGGCCAAGAAGAGGAAGCCCAACTTCTGCCCACAGGAGACGGAGGTCCTGGTGTCCAAGGTCAGCAAGCACCACCAGCTGCTGTTCGGCCCGGGGCTGCTGAAGGCCGAGCCGGCCCGCAGGTACTGTGTGTGGAGCTGCATCCTGCAGGCCGTGAACGCCCTGGGCTACTGCCGCCGCGACATCGTGGACCTCAAGCACAAGTGGCGGGACCTGCGTGCCGTCGTGAGGCGCAAACTGGGTGACCTGCAGCGTGTGGCCCACGGCCCCGGCGGGCCCCAGGCCCTGGCCCTCACGCCCGTGGAGCAGGCGGTGGCCAAGACCTTCTCCTGCCAGGCCCTGTCCCCCGAGGGCTTCGGCCCGGAGCCGCTCCCAGGTGAGTCCCTTGGCCCGGCTGACCGGCGGGCAGGAAGCAGAGACCCCCCGCGGCCGGGCTGCTCCTCATCCCTCGGCCCCAGGGGCCTCCCGCCATGCCCCCCTCCTTGTCCCCGCCGCCAGGGTTGGGGCCGTTTCTGTTCCTTCGCGCACACGCTGGTGTGGCCACGCGGGGACAGCTTTCTAAATATCACAGCCCTGCAGCTGCACTTGCCTCCCCTCTGCTTTGCCCCTGCCCTCTCGCCCCCGGCTGCGGAACGGGGAGCTGGGCGCACACAGACGCGGCTCTCCTCTGAGGGACGTCTGCTTCCTGCCTCTGGACCATGACCTATGGGAAGAAACGCGTTTCCTGTGCGGTCCCACAGACACACTCACACCTGTGACATGAGGTTTTCAAGACCATGGTTACTCCATGTTGTCCTCTACGCCCTGACGTTTCTCTCTTTTGCTCTGCCCCATCCCGTACTCCTACCCTGTCCTCTGAGTGAAGCGCTCCTGCTGATTTTCTAGTTTTACTACCGGGGCTGCAAAGCTGCGGTTGGGAGCACCGGGCTCTGTGGCTGGCTTAACATCCAGAACAGGCCTCAGTAAGGGCTGGGCTGGCCCTGCGGCGTCCGGTGGACAGCTTGGTGGGACAGCTTGGTGGGGGAGAGGGTCACCCGGAGCCCAAGTGGTCCTTCCGCAGCTGTTTTCCAGGGGAGCGTTGCTCTGCGGGGCGTGACTTCTCCTCATCCAGCGCAGTGGGTCAGGGGGCTCGATGGAGGTCAGCCCAATGTCTGGGAGCTCTGCTGGGAGCTCAGCGGGGCGGGTCCCAGACGGGTGCCCGTTGCATGGATATGCGCAGCCCTGGTGGGGCACACAGGGTGCAGAGCTGCCTGGGAGCTGGAGGAGGATGGAGGCTGAGCCCAAATACTGGCAGTTAGGGCGGGGGAAGGAGGCGTGGGGTGGGGGTGTGCGGATCATCTGTGCGTGCCTCCTCTGTCGTAGGTGGGTACTGGAGGTAGGTTCTGGGGACCATTTCTCAGTCCTTACCTAGTCTTCGACTTTGGGCCAGAAAATACAGAGTGTCAGAAACAAAGCAGAGGCAAACACGTGTCTTCCTAGAGACCGGCACAGGTTGGGTCTCATCTCTGGTGCCAGCCGCGCGCACGACTTGGTGACGTGGTCTCCCCAGTGATGGGCACCGCTGCCCTGGTGACCTTGTGACCTGGTGCTGGCTGGGGCCCCGAGCAGTGGGATCCCTGAGGCTGAGGGCCTCCTGCTCTGTAAGGGGGGCACGCAAGCCCCTGTGGGTTGCTGTGCGCAGTGGGAGAACTGGCCGTGCCGTGCCCAGCGCGTGCCTCGCAAAGCTCTGCCTCCCTTGTTTGGCCCATGTTCTTCCCGGACAGACCCTAATGCACGCTCGCCTCCCTCCTGCACGCCCAGAGTGCCGCCCCACACCCCGACCTCGAGGCCGCCGCCTCCCGCACAGCTGTCTGCCTCCCTGGCCCAGCGCACAACCCTGCTGTGGCCCCGGCCCCAGACCCCGCTCTGCCTCGCGGGCGTCCACTCGTCCCCGCATGGGTGCTGGTGCGTTTGGCGAAGGATGCGCCCTCACCAGCTGGGGACCGGCCGCACACATTCCTCAGCCCTGCCCTCTGGCTTCCCAGCGCTCTCACCTGGGGGCGCTCATTTCCTTGGAGCGGGCGTGAAGGGGGACTGTGGCAGCCCCCAGCTCCTGGCTTTCACGGCTTTGTGATTGTTTCCAGACGCTTCCTGTCCCCGAGGCCCTGGAAGGTTAGCCTTCCCTTGCAGAGTGACCTGCCCCAGACTGGAGTTCCGGGGAGTTGTTGAGCACCACGGGACGGTCCGTCGTGTGGCCCAGGCGTGGGTGCTGTTGCTCCTCAGTGGGGGTGCCCCACAGCCTGCCGGCACTTGGATCTGGTCGCAGAGCCCTTCTTTCCCGGAGCACTTTGCAGGACTGTTGCTGTCGATCACGGGGAAAAGGGGAAGTCCTGCCACGGGGACGCTCTGTGCCTTGTCTGTGCAGACATTACCAGTCCATCGCAGCACGACGAGCCACTCCATGGCCTGAAGCAGCCTCAGCCTCTTCGGGCTGCCACCCGGGGAGGGGTGCCTTCATGGGGCAGGCTCCTGGCTGGCTGCCCCCCCCGGCCACAGTGAGGTCATCCCGCTGGCATGCGGCACTGCCCCGTCTCCCCCTGTACCCAGCCCTCCCTGGCTCCTCCTCTAGTGCCCTAGGCATGGGCCTGGGGCCGGGAGCCTGCATGCAGGCCAGATGCCCCCCCAGCCCCACCCCTCCTCTTGCTCTGTGCTCTGGGCGCCCCCAGTGGCCATGCTGCTCGGGAAGGAGGAGCCCCCGATGCTGCAGGGCCTTTATCCCCTTGCTGTTAGGCTCCTTCCTCTGCCTCATGCTCATGTGGTTCCGGGTCCCCTGACGCCCCTGGGCCTGCCTCCGTGCACTCGGTGTGGGGGCAGAGATCCTACCCGTGTCCCGTGTCACCTGGGTGAGGGCACCTAGGAAGGCCCACAGAGCACATCCGGTGACACCTGAGCTTCATAACTCAGGTCTGCTCTCAGAGTGGCTGAATTCTGAGTGTTCGCTCCAGGCCGCGGAGGTGGCCCGGGGCTGACTGTGGGGACCCCTTGCAATCCTGCTCCCGCCACACTCCAGGATTTCGGATTTGTCTGTTTCTCCTGGCAGGTGCAGCAAGCGTGGCTCTCTGTATTTTGGAGCTCTGGTATGTGTGCGAGGCTTAGAAGGGGGATTGGTTCCCCCAGCCGGAAGGGAGCAGGGCCCTCTGGGGTGGGAGGCAGGCTGTGAGGGGGCCGCGGGGGGGCAGGCCAGGGAGCTTTGTCCTGTCCTTCGCCGTTGGCCCCGTTGGGCATGCTTGGACCTGCCCTTGCTGGGGGTCGCTCAGGGTGGGGTGTGCACACTTCCACGTCTTGTCTGTGGATGTGGCCAGTGTCGTCCAGGGAAGGGGCTGCTGCTGTCATCCCTGGCCTCCTTGGGGCCCTGGGTCTGTGCAGGTGCTGTGCCTGTGGACCCCCAGCAGCCTGTGAGATGGTCTGTCACCCCCTCCCCACAGCAATGCGAGCGCACCGGGGCACTGGGTTTTGCCCAGGCCTGTCTGCTTTGCGGCCGAGAGGTCCTCTGACTTCCCTTGCTCGTCCTGCGTCCGGGGCGCCATATCACCACTCGGCCTCCTCCTGCCTTGCGCGAGTCGACACCCCAGTCCTTCCACCAGCCGTCTGTTGCAGCTGGGAGCCATGTGGTGGGGCAGAGCCCGGCAGAGCCCGCTGTCCCCCTGTCCGCCTGGCCCATGCAGCGGGGCAGCTGGGGACGACGTCCGGTTCCATGGGGGTCTCTGTGCTCCTGCCGCATTACTGGTGGGGCTGCTGCCTCTGGGCCCCAGGGAAATGAGGGGCAGGTGGCTGGAGCTGGGCCCCTTGGCGGACGGAAGGCGTTGCCAAGTGTGCGTTGGAAGCCTCGGGTCCCCTTCCTGCAGCGGGCAGATAATGTCGCGCACCTGCACAGAGATGCCAGGGGGGCCAGTAACTGTGATCTGGTGGCTCAAGAGCGTCCCATTGTCTCTGCTCACAGCAGAAGCAGAGGGCGGGGAGGAGGAGTCCCAGAGAAAAGCCCGATGAGTTCTGCCGGTTTTACTTTTTTATTTTATCCACGCCTCGTGTGGTCATGCGGGGCCTGGGAGCGATACAGTGCGTCCATGTGCAGTTTGGTGACGTGTGCCCAGCAGCTTCCCCGTGGCGGAGTTTAGCGAGGGGGCATCACGACTCGTGCTGTGCACCGGCCCAGGGCAGCCACTAGCTTGCTTTGTGCCGCCGTAGGGTGGGCTTCTGTGGACTCGCGGGCACGTGGACTCCCGTGTCAGGGGTCTGGTGGCTTGTCCTCCCATTGCTCAGGAGTGGGCATCTCACAGTTTATGTCTCGTCCGCCCTGATGGACGGTTGTGTGGTTGCCAGCTTTTGGCTGAGTGAAGGCACCGCGAACCTTTGTGCATTCTCACTCTCTTGGGGGCTTGGAGAGACATTTAACTCGCTCTGAAACTTCCAAACTAGTTTCCAAAGTTGCTGTCCCACTGGGTTCGCACAGCAGCGCGCGGGCTTGAGCATGCTGTGCATGCCGTCACCACGTGCCCCGAGGCCGTGCGGGCGGGCGTCATTGCAGCATGTCCTCTGCTGTGGTCGGTGTTCCCACCGGGCTGGAGGCCGGCCCGCACTGCTCGCGCCCGTCCCGGCGTCTGGGTTCCGGGGCCGTCGGGTAGCCATGGTGCAGACCTTTTGTCAGGCTCTGCACTGTCTTGTTTTTTCTTGATGGGGTCTTTTTGAAGCTTTTTACATTTTGATGTTATCGGTGTTTTGGGGTTTCTGCTCTTTGTATCCCATCTAAAAAGTTCTTGCCTACTACAAAGTCCCAGAATTATTGTTTTTTGAAGTTTTTTTTAAAGATTTTATTTATTTATTCAACAGAAAGAGAGGCAGCGAGAGAGGGAACACAAGCAGGGGGAGTGGGAGAGGGAGAAGCAGGCTTCCCGCTGAGCAGGGAGCCCGATGCGGGGCTCGATCCCAGGACCCTGGGATCATGACCTGAGCCGAAGGCAGACGCTTAATGACTGAGCCACCCAGGCGCCCCTTTAAATTTTTTTAAGATTTTATTTATTCATTGTTTTTTGAAGTTTTTTTTGAGAGAGAGAGCAGGAACAGGGAGAGGGCAGAGGGAGAGGGAGAAGCAGACTCCCCGCAGAGCAGGGAGCCTGACGTGGGACTCAATCTGAGGACACTGAGATCATGACCTGAGCCGAAGGCAGACTCTTTACTGACTAAGCCACCCAGGCGCCCCTGTTTTTTGAAGTTTTATAGTTTTAGCTTTTGCGTTTAAGTGTCTGATACATGGGCAATTGATTTTTGAGTCTTGTTAGTTTGGGGTTGGGGATCAGTGGATATCCAGTTGTTCATCACCGTTGGTTGAAAAGACCGAATCACCTTGATGCTTCTGTGTAAAGCCACTGGGAGGTCGACTTGTTCCTGATGATCTGGGTCTCTGCTTAACGCAACACCAAGCCGCCTTGACTATAAAGTAACTATAGTCTTGAAGTGGGTTGGGAATTATTTTCTCCTCCTCTGTTTTCTGAGAAAATTTGTGTAGAATTGATACTATTCTTCCCTTAAATATTTGGCAGAATTCACCAGGGAAGCCTCTGAACTGGCATTCATTGTGGGAAGGTTTGAAACTACACTTTCTTCCATGTTACAGTGTCATGGGTTACAGTGTTACAACATTACGTGTACGTGTTACAGTGTTGCATGTTACATGTTAACATGTTACAGTGCCAGCCAGGCTTCTGCTGCTTCTCATATGACCTTCGATCATTTGTGTTTTCAAGGAACTTACGCATTTCATCAAAATTGTGGCATTTACTGCTGGGCTGTTGTCTGCAATATTCCCTTAGTATTGTTTGAATGCCAGTGTGGTCGGCAGTGAGCCTGCCTCTCTCGTTTCTGACATTGCTAATTGTGTTTTCTCTATTTCGTACTTGACTGGTCTGACTGCAAGTCTATCAATTTTTTTTTTTTATTCTTATGTTAATCCCCATACATTACATCATTAGTTCTAGATGAAGTGTTCCATGATTCATTGTTCGTGCACAACACCCAGTG